CCCCCCCCCCCCCCCCCCCCCCAACAGACGCACACACACTCACACACCTCATAGAGCACCTAATCTGTTAAGTTCGTTTTCCAAAAGTCAGAACTGGACGGCCGGACAGGTCATTTGGAAGATGAAAGTGAAGATGTATATAGCTGCTCTATTAAGAAAAGTTTCAACTAAACAATTATTTTCATCATTATTATTAAACTTAACTACTCAAAAGTTATGCCGGCCCATTCTTGCGGGACTGTTCGGTTCACCTAGATGACGTTCAGCCAAGTATTTCATGAAGTGAGCCACTCTCTAAGGAGGCCACTTTCTGGGGCTAGGCTCGCAGCTTTTTTTTCCGCATTTTTTTTTCAATGGCGCCAGTGCAAAAGCTCAGCCTTCTTCTCAGTCGTAAGCACGCTTTGCCGGGATGGCTCAGTTAATACAGGCAATTGTATGGACAATTTTCCAGCCATGTTAACGCCGGAGACCCTGACATCGCCAGACTATGAAACCGAGATGAACGAACCCGACTCGCAACGCCGATTTTCGTAATGAACTTGAGAGATGTGACGAGATTTAGTAAACCGGTCGGCAATCAAGGGATATTTATGATTCTAATTGCTCCCGGTTTCAGTAGTCACATTGTAAAACCAGGCCAAAACCTCACGCGAGTAACTAATAGTCGTGGGTCGTGGTTACAAAGTCGTGGTTCGTAGGTGTAAAGTCGGTTGTCCCCCTAGTTCCGTAAGGTTTTGAGACACAATCCTTTCTAGTGAGTAATATTAAATAAATTAAAACTAGCGATATTTATGCCCCATGCTTGTTCTCCCAATCATTTACTAATAGTTAGGCCAAGTACATTGCTGTGGCTGAGCTCTGTTTGCTGTAATGAGATGCACTACACAACACTAAAATATGCCATATTTTGGCCACCTGAGTGGCCCTTTATTCTTTAACAAGATTTCCAGAAAATACAAGGCAGAAACTAATTATCCAATTACAGCAAAGGTGAGGGCAAAAACCGCCAAAGCCCTGATCGAACGTGAGAGACAGGGCAGCCCCACCCGAAGCCACATAAATGTACTCGGCCCGTACCTGTAATATTAACGAGGAGATAAACTGTAACTAATAGTATACTAGAACACCCCTGTGGCCCTTGCACACTTGTTTGGGTGATGTAAACAAATTAACTCTACATGGTACTACCACGCCGCCCATGCAAACGTGGTAGTAGGTAAAAAAGTAACTTATACTTATCAGCACTATGTCAGCCACTGGTCAATTGGCCCAAGCACAATTGCTCAGAACTGACTCTTAGAAAATTTTTAGGCGTCTTACACAATACACTGTACTTGAAATGCAGTGTAGAAAGGTTGGCCCCTGCACAACCCTTTCTCACCACCTAAGCACTGGGTACAAAAATTTACAGTTAGAACCCTGGCCTATGTTGTTGAAGGGAAGGCCCCTGCACAACCCTTCCAACCTCTGGCTACAATGGGCACATGGCAACATATTCCACAGTCATGTGGGCAGCGAAGATATTCTGATATATCGTAAGAAAGCGTTAGAATTCCACCGGCCAAAACTTCTAATCTGGGCATCCGAGAAGCCCTTTGCTGCTGCCCATGAGGCTGCTCCGATTCTGAAACTATGAGACTTATATTTGGAGACATCAAGATTGCAAAAATTAAGAGCTGCAGTTAGTGCAGATGTGAAAAACGAACGAGAAATAGGGGAAGCGTCAGGCCAGCAAAAAAGAGGGCCAGGGAAATTGCCCCGAAGATTCAAATATGCTAGCAGCAATGAAACAGGACAGACAGGGTGTTCTCTGTAAAGAAAAATATCTACGGGCTTTGAAGTATCGCTGTGCTTGTAATTTCTCAGGGTTAACTTAATAGCACTAATTGATCCTTCCCTAGTTTCCATGAATGTAATTTGATTCAAAAGGATTAAATTGCGCTGGGACTGATGAGTACGGTATGTCAATTCCCCAACCCTCAATGCTGCGAAAAAGGCAAAGGCATACATTGCTTGAGTCATCTTTCTGTAATATAATGCAGACTGTGTGTGATCACTGGCCGCTATAATGTTCTCCAGTATTGGCAGTGAAATTGGTAAACGCACATCGAATGATGGGTTGAGCTTACTGTAACCCCTAAGCGCTATTTGTATCATGTCTGCCTTTGTTGGATCTGTTAGGGAGGCTAAGCGATGCGGATAGCTCACGGCCGAGATGTAAGTCAAGACAGTAGAGGCTGCATATTTCTGTTCCGCTAGAAAGGCAATGAAGAGTGCTAAAGTGTTTATCGAGAGAGGAAAAACTGGGCCTTGATATCCCAACCTATCTTGCTGAAAATGGTATAAGAGCTGCCATGGGCGCTGGTATGTACGCACCGAAGACGAACTTAAACTTGCTTCTAACAATTGCTTTAACCTACTTCCCAATTCTCTGGAAGCAGATGCGCCGGAATCTGTGTTGGAGATGTTTGCATACCTGTACCCCTCGATATGGTTTTGAATTTGCCCACCTGCAAACGAGACAAGCTGTCAGCCATTGCATTCTTAACTCCGGGAATATGACGCGCTTTGAATAAAATGTTGTTTTGCAAACACACCAGTACTAATTTGCGCAAAAGACCCAACAACATTGCATCTTTGGTCGTTTGTTTGTTGATGACATGCACTAAGCTTTCGCTATCGGTCATGAAAAGAACCCGTTTGTTTCGTAATTCCTGACACCACATACTAAGCCCAATTACAATAGGAAAGAATTCGAGAAAGCAAATGTTATATCTCTTCCATTTCTCCGGCCATGTGCCATATGCCCATTGATCACCGAAAAGTATACCGAAGCCACTGCTCTGAGCAGCATCTGTGTATAATCTTAAGCTATGAGATGAAGACCAGTCTTCCTGTAGAAAAAGGGACCTACCATTAAAGGACTCCAAAAAGCATTCCCAGATTTGTAAATCCTTTTTGGTTTGTCGGGTGAGGCGAACATAATGATGAGGCCGTTTAACACCGATTGTTAAATTAATCAGGCGACGGAGAAATGCTCTCCCTGGAACAACTACTGAACATGCAAAGTTGAGCAAGCCTATCAATGACTGTAACTCTCTCAGGGTAACTTTCTGTCTGCTTTTCATGTTGCCAATAGTCACCCTTGCTTTGACTACTTTGTCCGCAGGAAGTCTGGCCTCAAATCTCTCACAATCTAGTTCTATTCCAGCAAATGTTAAAACTTCAAAAGGACCAACCGTTTTTTCAGGAGCCATTGGAACCCCTATAGTATTGCAGAAGTCCAAAAACCTTTGAAGACTAGCACTGCAGGCTTCACGAGATTTTTCAACGATAAGAAAATCATCCAAGATATGGATTATGTTTGGAATCTTCAGTTTTGTTTGTGCTACCCATTCCATTGCTGTGCTAAGGCTTTCAAAGGTTTTGCATGAACTTGCACACCCCATAGGTAAACAACAATCTACATAATATTTCCCTTTCCAGTATAACCCCAACAAATGATAATCCGCAGGGTGTACAGGAATTATCCGAAAAGCACTTGTAACATCAGTCTTAGCCATAGCACATCCATTACCTAAACGCCTAATAATTTGAACTGCATTATCAACTGTGGCATAATTAACCGAACAAAACTCTTGAGGGATAAAATCATTCACCGAACCCCCTTGTGGAAATGACAGATGATGAATCATCCTGAATTCGCCTGGTTGTTTCTTGGGGACAACCCCTAGAGGAGAAACTCTCAGGTTGTCTAAGGGAGGCTGATCAAAAGGCCCTATTATTCTTCCTGCGTGTATTTCCTTAGCTAATTTATTGTCCACTATTTCTGGGTTGTTTATTGCTGAAACTAAGTTGCCTGAAAAATGACCGGTAACAGGCCCTTGAAAATGTAACTGAAAACCTTCCGTAAAGCCTTTTTGCAGGCTCTCGTTCAAATGGGTAGGGTAACCTTGCAAGAAAAACAATAAGCTATTGACTTTGACTGGTGTTGGAAGTGCTCCTGGGGTGGGGAATGCTGGACTTTGTTGGGTTTGGCCCCGCTGTAGATTTTGCGGGTTGCCTGCACTTGGCAATAGTGTGCTGTTGTCCACAGCGAAAACATTGGTGCAGGTAGGAACATCCGCTGCACGAGATACCCTTGTGGAATTTCCAGCAATAGCCCCGGGGTACAAACGGGGAAGTTGTCCTAGTCTTTCCTGCGGTTGTTGTCTTGGCCCGAAAGGAATGGGCACGTAGCCATAATTCGGAATGAATCTGATCCCAGGGGGCACCTTGGTTTTCCCGCAACCTTCTAAAATGTTCATCATAAAAGTGCCAATTGGCCCCCTGGGTTGCTAACTCCTTGACCACTGATGCATATTTCATCAGGGCTGGCGTATCATGAGGTGCCTTTTCCGAATATGTGGTTACAAAGACTTGGAATGCTGGTTGCCACTGGTCAATGGTTTGCAGTGACTGTTTCTTTTGGTTGGGGGCAATTACTATGGAGGGTTGTCCCCCATTGCTTCTTTCTATCTCAAACACAAACTCGTCTTCTGCTTTACTCACAGTGTATTTAGCAGGACAGCGAAATCTACATATTCGTTTGCCCATATTTGGGCTTTGACTTTTTGGGGCACTCTTTGCCCCAGTGGTATCGCAGCGGACAAGAAAGAGTGCTTACTTGTACGGGTTGTGTCCGTGGACGGCACTGTCCCTGTCAACTGCTGAACTGCCTCCTCTACTGATCTGGTGACCGTGGAATGTGTATTTTCTTCAACTTGGCTCCGAGACACTGACCGGGAGATTTCCAGCCCTGAACTTGAAGGAGGGGCAGGAGCTGGCACGGGGTCTGGGACAAACTGTACTTGGGGTTCTAATGAAGAGCTGCTGGTAGGCACAGAGCCAATGTCCTGTAGGGCCTTGACTACTGCAGTGGCAATAGTGGTACTCAGTGAAGCTAAGTGGTCTTGAGACAATGCTGATAGATTGGGCATTGCTGCTGACGGCTGTAGCCTAGTTGGATGAATAGGCTGGGTACCTGACGGACCAGGAACTGCTAGGCCAGGTACTGCTTGTGCTTCTGAACCAGGCGGAGTAGCGCAGTTTTCCACTCTTCGTCTCTTTGGTGGCATGATTGGGTCAGACTGAAAATGTAGAAAAAATTTAACAAATCTTGCTTGGACTTAAGACCTAGCAAGAAACACAAGTCTTGGATAGTCCCCAATCATTAAGCACCCCCGATAGAAGTCATAGTAGGTGGCTGAAACAGTTAGCACCAGAACTGACAAAGGTGGCTCAAAAGTCAAAAGAAGTAATGCAACACACGGTGGATTGAACAGTTAGCACCACACAAAACACGGTGGTTTGAACAGTTAGCACCACACAAAACAGGGTGGCTAAAACAGTTAACACCCATGAACGAATGACATGGTGACTTGAACAGTTAGCACCAAAATGAACGAATGACATGGTGACTTGAACAGTTAGCACCAAAATGAACGAATGACATGGTGACTTGAACAGTTAACACCCCCCGAAATACAACTTATACAGCCCTAAACTCGGGTTTAGCGGATATCGAAACTCTCCCTCGGCGACAAGCGTATCGAGAGCAATCTGCGTCGCCCATTAGATTGGCTACACTGCTAAAACCCTTGAAAAATTCATAGTAATACTAATCACCATAACCACAACGCTAGCAATAATAACTGGTAACACGGATGTCATCGCCCCTAAAAGGCGGCAAAGTGCTCGGCGCAAATTCGCGCTGCTACCCATAAAGCGCGAACAGCTCTACTGTTGCGTTTAGCATTAAAGAAAATATTTGGGGGCGGTGCCGAAAGGGAATCGTAACCAAAACTTACTACGTCCCTTGCCGTTTGATAACGAAACAACACCGAAAAGGTGCCTTAGAACACTTAAAGTCCCTTTTCAATGTCCGTACGGCATAGATTTGGCCATAGGAAGGGTTCTGTGACTGCATAAACTTTGCCTTCGCACCTCTACATTCAACGCACGTGGTCATGTGCGACTCGGATCATACCGAAGTCGACGCCAAAGCACAAAAAACCATCAACATTTCAACATACTTAACTTGTATAGCGGAAAAATAACCGTTCTTGAGAAGATCTATCGTCATGTTGCGGCCGGTTAGCGTAATACTGCCCAAGGAACTTCCAAAGTGACCGGCGAGCGGTAAGAAAAAACCTTTGCACACGGCGGTGTGAAGACAAAGTGGCTTGTAACCTAGCCTGCTTCAACTTATATATCACCCTGAACATCACGTCCCGGATGTAACCACTATTCACATGATCTAAACTTAAACTCTGCCCATGATAACTAAGCAGGACGCATAAAAACATTTACTCCCTCTCCGGGAGTAAATCTCCTTTANTTCATAGTAATACTAATCACCATAACCACAACGCTAGCAATAATAACTGGTAACACGGATGTCATCGCCCCTAAAAGGCGGCAAAGTGCTCGGCGCAAATTCGCGCTGCTACCCATAAAGCGCGAACAGCTCTACTGTTGCGTTTAGCATTAAAGAAAATATTTGGGGGCGGTGCCGAAAGGGAATCGTAACCAAAACTTACTACGTCCCTTGCCGTTTGATAACGAAACAACACCGAAAAGGTGCCTTAGAACACTTAAAGTCCCTTTTCAATGTCCGTACGGCATAGATTTGGCCATAGGAAGGGTTCTGTGACTGCATAAACTTTGCCTTCGCACCTCTACATTCAACGCACGTGGTCATGTGCGACTCGGATCATACCGAAGTCGACGCCAAAGCACAAAAAACCATCAACATTTCAACATACTTAACTTGTATAGCGGAAAAATAACCGTTCTTGAGAAGATCTATCGTCATGTTGCGGCCGGTTAGCGTAATACTGCCCAAGGAACTTCCAAAGTGACCGGCGAGCGGTAAGAAAAAACCTTTGCACACGGCGGTGTGAAGACAAAGTGGCTTGTAACCTAGCCTGCTTCAACTTATATATCACCCTGAACATCACGTCCCGGATGTAACCACTATTCACATGATCTAAACTTAAACTCTGCCCATGATAACTAAGCAGGACGCATAAAAACATTTACTCCCTCTCCGGGAGTAAATCTCCTTTAAGAACAATACCACGCCCCCAGTTCAACACCAGAAGTCCAATTCTGAAACGAGTAACAACAATATTAACAACAATGAAATTCATTACCCGAAAGTAACGTCTACTTCGAAAATTACCACTCAACTACACTTGAGAATCGAATTGAATCCAGTGATGTAAGGTTTGAAGAAGTACTTTCGATCTACGTAAAAAGCAATTTTAAAACATGTTTAACGTAACTTGTAACAGGAACGAGAAAAATGTCTCTTTTTGTGATTTTTAGTGAAAGTCAACTATCAGCCTGTACCAATCATAATAACGGATCAAACGTGTGAAAATCTTGGAACTCTTGTAACGTATATAGGAAACTGTCTCAACTAAACAACGTCAAGAGTCATTTGTGACTCTATCTAGAAACTTGCCTGGATCCTTCTTTAAATTATGCATGATTTGAAAAATGAATTCACAAAAGAGTCAGATGATAGAAATTAGTTACATCGCGATTTAATGCACCCATATCTGACTTTCGCCCCATTCACGTACTATCAACATTTAGGACCCCTTATATGTTAATTTAAGTTAATTAATAGGAAGGGGAATTTTTTCTTTCGTTACATTTCCCTTGCATTTTTTCCTTGAAAATGTCCAGTAAGTCCCCGTTACAGGTCCTGTATGACTGGTGTAATAATAATTGATTTTCCACCATTCTCGCCATGGAGCCTCCAGTAGATCAGTGGTTAGCGTATCCGTACTAGAACTCGGAGGGCTGTCAGTTCGATTATCACCCAGAGATTGGAATTTTCCGAGCTTACAGGTGTTAGATTTCTCCTTCTTCCTAACAGAAACAGATTTTTTCCTTGATGTTAATAATAGGAGGTCAGTACAGTAATTTTTCCTTATGCTACTCGGCATGCTCACTTTTCTATGAATGGTCCTTCCCTTTTTAACTCGATAGTTTGGATGTCCACCCACTAATAACTAATAGCTATCCTACCCCACCTCCTGCCCAGAAACTACCCTGAGGGATTTGTTCAAGATCCCTTATACCCTTCGCGTTTTTGTGGGTCTACCAGCTACCCACCACCCACGACTTTGCACCCACGACCCACGACTATTAGTTACTCCCAAGCCAAACGAATCAGAAAAATTTGGCATTTGGTTAAAGATAACATATGATCAGCGCCACTCTGTTTCATTTCATTTCTTCATTCATTCTTGATACTTCTTTTATTCGTTGACAATGCATAAATTCGTTACTGACTTTCATCAATTTTTAATTCCTTACCTCTTCGGCGCTCAAGTACACTGGAGACTTTTCTTTCGCAAGTGGAAGCATTGCGGTTTTAATGAAGGAATGTGGAAACTTGGCGGCCAGAAATCTTTCCATTCTTGCAAATATAAGCAGTGAGGAAAATGGAACAACTGTTTCAAACTTTGTGGAGGAAATTGCTGAACTTCTTTGTCCTAATGACTGTTCGTTCAATGGAAAATGTGTAAATGGCAGCTGTGTTTGTAACAAGGAATTTACAGCAGATGATTGTTCAGCATCCATTTATC